GATGTATGCTTGATGTTTGCCTTGATATGTGTCTTTCATTGAGTCGTATCTTTTTGTATTGCTTTCATCGACGGGAAACAGTTAAAATGATAATAGTAGATTGCTAGAACAGAATGAAATAGAGTTCACAAATATTATTTTGACCTTGCCCTCACTGTAATTTCAATATTTTTGGGTGCACACCGCCCTCACGCCCATTTTGATGGCATCACGCAGAATGGCTTGCGCAAGCCACTTTGTTCACGACTGACAACACTGATTCCCAGGCAGTTGCTACACGTAAAGCGGCTCTGGATCACCAGAATATGTATCTTGTTGCCAGTTTCATCAACAAGTTAGTTGTATCTCGCAATTCTTCAGGTTCAGTTTGATGACTCAGAGTAAAATCCAGGCCATCAATATGGCGGTCCAAATGCACTTTTAATATTCCTCTACAAACTTTGTAAATTCTGTGTTTTCCTCTGTATATTTCATATTGTGAAAATAACTACTTTCCTCTACTTTTGATCTGCCAAGTTCGGCCAAAATAGGGAGAGGAAACAGCACACATTTCCTCTCTCTACATTAGCCGGTATGCGAGTTTCTCTACATTCGTTGACAGTTTCGTAATCTCTACATATGTTATCATTAATTTCTCTATACAAACTTACTGATTCGGAATTTCCTCTCTCTATACTTTTTTTTTGGTTAATTATTTTTTCTCTCTATTGTATGCCCAGGTGCAGCCAAAGCTCAGCTGTGTTAAAACTATAGCAAGACTCTTGGTTTGACTGCCGTAGTAGAAGAGAAGGGTGTATAGGTGGACTTTAACAAGCCAGTTGGCTTGTACGGCAGGTTTGACTGGGACTATATAGACTATGATAATTGGTGTGCTATGGAATTTCAGGTGATGACTAGAAAGATATGTACCATACTAGCCACAGTGTGTGGGAGGTGCAAGCCACTTCTGTATTTTGGCTGATTATCAGGGGAACCCGGGAGCCCTCACTTCAGCCACCTCGGCTCCACCCCATCTGTCCTCCGCATCACCTGCACCCTCACCACCACCCTCTGACCATCCCTCCTTGGCCCCACCTCCAGCTCCATCCACCCCCATTCCCTCCGATTGCTTGCATTGGCATGTGCTATGTGACCAAGCTTAGGATCACTGCTGATCCCTTCAGACACATGCTGCTGGCTAGTACCTATTAGTTTATAAGCTTCACCTAGCATGGGAATCCTCATCCTGTCTTCTCTTCAGATTCCCCTGCTAGGTACGTAGTATTTCCATTCCTGTACCTTAGTATAGCGATTAATGTACTTCGGATCCCCCTGCTAGTTTCCGTGCTCCACGCCGAGCTTAAGGTCACCCTTACACTGATTCCAAGCCAGCAGAATGGCTTCATTCGGCTGGGCATGGGCATGTGATCCCACCCAAACCCACACCCCCGCCCAATACAAGCCATTTCATGCAGGTGTGTCATGAATCACCCGGATTCTACTTTTTCGCGCGACGCGTCTTAGTGGCACGGGACTCTCATGACGCCACCACGTGACCTTCTCACGGTTGAAACCCGGCCTCGGATTCTAAAGCCGCAGACCCGGGGAGTCTGCGCCACGGAATACAGAAGACGTTAGGGACTAGGAACCAGTATAGACGGACTCTAGTCCCCAGGCGCACCAAGGGCTGACACAGGAAAGTACACGGAGTACAGGAGTGGTTGCAAACCTGATCAGGGTTTGAAGCACTGGAGACGATGACACTTAGGACTAGGAAACCCGAACATCGGGTCTCCTAGGCCCACCGACGTCACGGAAACCAACACAGAGGAGTCCAGGAGCATCAGCATTAATGCTCCTTAACGCTACGTTGCAGGAACTGACCGCGACTGACCGCGATCGCTTTAATTTATTAGAAGCCTATATAAGCGCGGTAGAATCTCCATGTACAGTAGATTCTACCTCATCTAATCTCAGGCTTCTACCTTGGCTTGACATAGGCATTGTCTCCACTCTGTCCCGCTTCCCTCACACCGTACTACGGGTTGTATCCACACCTCGGGTTTTGTACCTGAGTGGATATCACACCCTCTTCGACTCGTTCCGGGTTCCGCCTCGCATCCCGACCTACGACATACGGCCTCCCAGGGAGGACACCGTACGACTGGTCCTACTGCTCGGGGAACACACGAGCTATTAAGCATCTATCGGGTTTCTCCTGGTTGGGGTTCTCGCCGGGTTACTTGCTGTTTAGCCGGCCCAGAGGCCGTTGCTGACAAGGTGCAAGCCACTTTTGCAAGCCAAAAATGTCACTCTCAGATTTGTACCCACCTCTTCCCTTGAAACACTGTTGTGACCCCAACAGCGGAAGGGAATGATCACCCATGATCCAGAGCAGCTCGTACCCTACAATTTCCAGCACAATATATTTAGCTGACTTCTTCAAAACATTGTGTTTACCAGTATTCTTGGTGGGCGCATCAACAGCCGGCTGTAAGTAGCAAACCGGTCTTTTGACACTGGTACAAATCTTTTGAGATGGATGGATGGAAAAGACTAGGGAATAAGTGATCGAGAAACAAAGCCCAGAGCACACCACAAAAAAAAAGATTAGTACTTGACGACTACGTTGTTGATGGGACTGAACCAGAACCGAAACTGCTCCTTCTCGACCCATTGATACCGTTCGGAAAGCATATAGGGCGTCCTGGAGTGCGCCCACGGGGGAATAAAGCGTTAGGTGAGGCTCTGGTCTAATCTGGTTGCGGTTCCATGGGGCACACTGGCCGTGTGATGCGACCCGGAGCATAGCGAGCTATGCACATACACAGCGCAGCGACTCATATGGGATTACAATCGTTGTGGGTGGTGGCAAGAGCGAAATTTTGTCAGACGCGCATCGCGGGTGCAGCTGTAGGGCAAGCCTAGAGTCGCCAACGGGGGAGACACGAAGCAGCCGGCAGAGGAAGCAGAGAGGAGGGCCCGGCAGATACTGATAAAGCGCAAAGTCTGAGGGGGAAGTAGACGCAGGAAGAACAATGGAGAGCGAGGCGCGAGAAAACATTTCTTCAAGTCAAAGCCAGGTCTAAAAAAAGCATCGGGCAGCGTTTTCGGGCGGACCCCGGCTTGGACTTTAGCGACTCGGTGGAGGCGCAGTCGCAGGCATCACGGAATGATCAGAGCGCCGGATTTTCTGCATATTCGCGTCGTGTCCTACGTTCTGGTCCTCGAGCTAGGGGTCCATCCAGCATGGACGCAAGAGTCGCAAGAGAAAATAATTTTGATCCCAACAAACACAGCCTCCCTCCCACGCCCGAGGTCCGATCGAATTTCGATGACGCGGGATATGTACGTCATCGCGTGTCCTCCGCTCATAAAAGCGCGGGCTTTCCATAATCGTTTGTCACCGTCCCTCTGTGCACGCACATTTTCTCGCTGCGCAGCGCCCTCTCTACGCTACTCCTGAGAACGAACGCATGTCGGCCGAAGACACCGCGCTCTCGCGCGAGGCGTCGGTGTCGCCTGCACCTGTGTCCCGTTCCCGTTCCAGACAATCCCCACCAGAACAAGAACAGGAGCAAGTACGACAATCATCAAACGGGAAACCGGTCTCGCGCGAGCCATCCCCTGCGCCTGCCCCCGCGTCCCGTTCCCGTTCCCAGTCCCGACAACCACCACCACGGGAACAAGAGCACGTACGAGAACGAGAACGACACTCGCGGGACGGGGAACAGCTGAAAGCTGAAAGACGGCGAGTAGGAGGAGAAGGACTGGGAGAAAGAGAAGGAGAAGTGGAAGGACCGCAGCAGTCCTCGCGGCGACGCGATCGCGGCGGCCGGCGGCGGAGGCAGCCTGAGTCCTCGTCTGCGTCTACGTCTTCGTACCGGTCCCAGCCACCACCCCCATCTCAATCGCAGTCGCAGCCACAGCAACCGCCTGCGCCCGCTCCCCAGCAACAACAGGGCGGCCTCCTCGGCGGCGGCGGCGGAGGACAGAAGAAAGAGGCGCTCAAGCTGCGGCTCGATCTGAACCTGGAGGTGGACGTGCAGATCAAGGCGAAGATCCACGGGGACGTTACATTGTCGCTGATGTGAGTGTTTTGGCTGTCCCTCCCGCTTCCCCAACCCCGTCTCTTTTCTCGTTCTTCATCCGATGATAAGCGTGACTTACTGAGACCACTGATCTGAACCAGTGACTGACAACTTTCCCCAGGGTGTGAGGCGGCATCCTGGGTTCCCCTACCGCGGGTCCTTGTTCGATTAGCCGGACTCCGAGGGTAGGGGCTGGCTGGGTTGGGATATGGATACTGGGACGCCATAGTATCGGTTATCATTGTATCTGTAATAGGTTCGCGGGACTCTGATGGACTACTCTTACTTCCGACGCCCAACGTTTCATTCCTCCGCTCCATCGTTTCCGTCTCGTCTTTTTATATCCATCTCTCCCACGTACTCGTCTTGCGTTGCAACCTAACACTAACATTTAATTCAACCTAGCAGTAATATTCACGGTAGGCGTTGGGCATCCTACGGATTCAAACGATAAGGACGCTGATGCCAATTTCAGGACTGAACCGGGTCAAATTGAGCCGAACGAACCTCCGGCTTTGGCTCTTTTGAAACACTTTAACCGTGAGGTTCGTGTATTCATGATATTGATGGTTGGTTGTGGGCCGAAATCGGGCACGTCTTCGTGGTTTTACTGACTCGTCCAAATCATTGTCGCGGGGATCCTCACTCCCGCCGGTCGTTCACCCTTCCATTTGCCTGCATCTTCGAGTATGCCAATAGCTGATTTATCTGAAGGCGTACACTGGGAGCTGTGATTGACTGCCTGCTTCTGGTTCAGTTGTACGCCTTGGTGGAGCCCTCGTTCCAATAAGATACCGCCGCGCAGAGAAGAAAGACCCACAAAAAAGAAAAAGGAAAGACTCAGTCGCCGAATGCTGATGGACATTCAAGTTGAACACCTGGCACTTTGTATACCGGATGCCCTTTATGTTACGCGAAAAAGTCCAAACATGCTGCCGGTGGGATTTGAACCCACAGATTCCTCATGACTTGTAATTGATTGCACTATCGGAAGAAGATGATCAGCCATGATCCACAGCAGCTTGATACTGTATGCGTACCAACTTTGCTCAACGGAACGAGTGGAAGAGGCGGACTGGAAGCCCTCACGCCTTCCTCATGAATCGCACTGAACGTCTAAAGGACCGCATGCGTCGGATTAGAATGCAATCAGATCAAACGAACAAAGGGTCCAGTTCCAGTCCAGGATAATAATGTGATGAGCTAAGGCAACAAGGACGTTCGCATATGAAATGGGTCGAGATCCAGCCAGTCCCTCAGTCTGCCGTGTGTCGGACCCAATCGCAGGCAGAGAAGGATCCACTGCCAAAAAGGCATCACAATACACGCGCTCGCCTACACGTTCCCTCGCAGTCTAACCTACCATAGCACGAGGCTCTGCCCTGTCAGCAGAATCAGATCCGGAGTTGATCTTCATTGTCCGGTGCCAAGCAACGCCTATGAATAGCCGCCCTCAAACATTAACCCATGTCACATCCAATATAATTGAATTCGACCATGCCGACCGTCATCAGTCAACCGCGAAGCTGTGGTGTCCGTTGGGAGTTCCACGGCCCGTTGCATGCGAGGTAGGCATTACAAGGCATGGTCCCGCTATTCAGATGATGGATGGATTCAGTCCTGGATACGACATGCGCACAAATGTTTTTTTGGATTGCATCTTTCGTTTCCATCTATCATCGCGTGGTGATCTCCCGTGAGTATAAAACTTGGCATGCCTTGTCGACGAACCCTCAAGGTTGATTCCTCACTTCATTTTCTCCCCATACTTCCCTTCAAGCCTCTTCTGAGCTCGACGCTACTCGTTTCCTTGCCTTGAAACTTCATTTCGTTTACACGACTTCAATACACTTTAAACATGGTCAACGCATTCATCATTGTAGTCGCTGCCCTCGCCGCTTCCGTCACGGCGCGCCCCATATCCGGCCGCGCAAAGGATAATGGCGGTGATGTGAGCTTAGGTGACTTGGCTGACTTGATCGTACGTATCCCAATCACCCAACCACGGCGACTACTTGCTCATTTGGCGTTCAGGGCGCAGCGGCTACCGCGACCGCTACAGCCGACGCAGCAGCAGGAACCGATGACAACACAGTTCCCCCTGGCTTCACCAACTTCGTGCGTCCTTCACACTGATCATGGGTAGAAGAATACTCACTCCCGCTGCAGGGCGGCGTCATCATCCCAGCGGGCAACAACGACGCACACGACGAGCAGCAGGCCGAGTTCTCTAGCGCCTCGATAGCCGCAGCAGCTGCCGAGACCGCCGCGGGCATCGACATCGCGGCGTCCATCGCCGCCGCGTCGAGCTCCGCCGCTGCCGCCGCGGCCACGGCATCTGTGAACCCCCTCGATCCGTTGCCGGCACAGAACACAAACCTCACCCCGGAACAGCTTGGGCAGCTCTCGGGCTTGCGCGCGAAGCTCCAGATCGACGACCAGTTCGGCGACACTGGGGCTGCGATCGACGACCAGGAGGCGATTGACGCGCTCATTGAGGATGGGGAGGGGAGCTTCGGCTTCTGAAGAGTGTATATCGCTAGGTTGTGGCTGTATTATGATTGTGTAATTCAAAAGGCGGGATTTGAAGGGAACATACACATGTGGAAATGAGATTAGGCGTTTGAATGCGGACCACAGATGGGACGCAACTAGGCGCAGAATGCAGTTACGGCCAGGTTGAAGACGGAAACTGTTACTCAACCTGTTCGGGCACTGAGCCATCTGCCGATTGCTTCTGATCATGGTCCGCATTCGACTTTCAGGCTTTTGAACGGGGAAAAAAAATGAGGAGTACTGTAGTATTTCGTTCAATTCTAACGCGCTGTGACCTCTGACAAAAAAATTAGAACTTTGAAGTTCTAAAATCGCGCGAGAATCGTGTGACACCTTTTTTTTTCTTATATCAAGAGAAAAGTTGGAGAGCCTCTCAAAAGTCGACCTGTGATCACTGCCCCAGGGACCACGACATTTTTGAAGAGCCACTGATGAGGGGAAGATGGAAGGAGTATACTTCCGCTTTAGCTCTACTCACGTCAAAAGCAGCATTTTGTGTGAACCCCTGGGTGCCATCGACCACCACATTACCGCTGCGCTGTGGAGCAAAAATGGGCTTTTTTGAGCATTTTTCAGCCATTTTGTGACCTCTTCGGCACATTCTAATATGCCGTTGGTGACCTGTGACAGGTAAGAAAATTTTCTTATATTTTGGGTCCTGTGACACGTGACATAAGAATTGAACGAAATAGTACAGTACTAGTTTGCTGCCCCATTTTGAGGAATAAACGGTGGCTATGTCCGTCCGTTTTGAATCTAGAAACGGGGCGGCAAACTGAGTATGTCCATTTGATACTGAAGATCTCGAACGCAAGAGGAAGAAGGCAAGAGATGAAACATCACGTGCTCCGTTGACGCGTCAAGATCAGCCAAACATCACCATACATAATCCGAACTACGGTTGAGTATGTCGAAAGGAGCCTCAACCCAGGTGCTAGTAAAGTAATTTCACCTTTAAGAACATAACTCGCCGTACTACTCACTGTGGGATGGCTTCGACTACTCCGTCGGACGTCCTGATGAGTCTGCATGAGAAATGTCCTGTTTTTATCCCTGAGAAGGAATTCACGCTTTGGCAACGGTCAAACTAACTACATTTGGAATGTGAGAAAGCGGGGTATGCCTCATATACTTATATACATGGGCACCCGCTTACGCTCACGAAGCTTCCCCATGTCGCTTCAGAAAAAGCCGTTCCGCAAAATCGACCTCTTCGCAAGAGCATCGGATGTCTCGGCTGAGGACTTTCAAAGGGCCTTCCTGGAGGTATTAAATCTGGTGAAAAACGTCCCCATCATGAAACGAAACGTTCTTCGCCTCGATATCGTACGTGTCTAGTATTTTTCGGTGTTGTAAATCTGAGTCGGACGTGTCTGGAGGCTTTGTCGAGGAACGACGCGAGCAATTTGGTCCCCTCCTTGAACTTGCTGCCTGATGCACCAACATCGTTCGATGCAATTATGATTGCGGAGTTTGAGAGTGAGGAGAAATGGGAGGAGGTGAAATCATCCCAACTCTGCGGTTCCTCCAATTTCGGGCTGACGGGTTGAACTAGGTTCATGCCGATGCAGAATTTATAAAGGCCAGGGATTCCACAAATTTCGATGCCAAGATAGGCCGAATGGAACGTATCATCTACCAGGAAATGATGACTGTGATGTAGAAAGAGTAGGGCGTAGATTTTTACAAGCCATAAAACGTTAAACCATCTATCCATCCCAAAAGTTTCTTGTTGAAAGTTGCTATCCCGCGGAGCTCATCGCAGTTCGACCCCCCCTGCACCCTGAAAGGCATGAATGTCGGAAATATCAAGAATGTTTATGATTGCCTAGCGGCCGCAGGAGTAAAGAGGAGGAGGGGGGGGGGGGGGGTAATGGAAGCAGAATGCAGCCCGGGATGTGTGGGCCAGTGTGATGATATAAGCTTGGAATGATACGGACAGAGGCTCCGTAGCGTGCGACATAATTTTTAGATCGCCCGAGAGTTCCGTTGTAGGTACGCCGAGCACAGAAGTATGAAAAAACGCTCTATGCTCCACTTTGACGTTTGTCCTCGACACCCACCTCTTTTTTTTTATATAGATCTGTCTTATCTGAGAACCTGGGCCCGGATAGATTTATTTCTCAATCGAGCTTATTTTTTCCGGCGTCGGTAGCTTTCGGCGTGCAGATTGGCATGCTGCTTTTTTCATGCAAGGCGTCGCCAACGTCTACACTTCACAGTCGCCGGGATCATCCAGACGATATGGTCGTAAGTAACTCCCTTCTCTTTTGGCTTCGGTACTGACCCAAATATCTTTCAGGTATACGAGCTGCGATCTTTCCCCAAACTCGACGACACGAAGGTGTGAACACTGAACTCCTCTCAATTTTCTTTCCTCCTAACAACTTAGTATCAGGCTATTACCACCCTCTAAACTAGACGACACGAAGGTGTGAACACTGAACTCCTCTCAATTTTCTCTCCTCCTAACAACTTGGTATCAGGCTATTACCACCCTCCAATCTGCCGCTTCCCTTGCCTGCGATCTCCTCATCACCACCTATCTCTGCCTACTGTTCAGATCTGTATGATAGCAACGTAACGCATAACACCGGGTCCAAAATGTTGCCTAATTTGCGCAGCGTAACACATAACGGGGCTCCAGTTGCTTGCTGGTACACAGTATTTTTAGTATGCATTTTTCTCAAACAAAACAGTGTCAAAAATCCCAAAAAAAAAATCTATTTCTATCTAGGGTTGTCCGAAAGTCTCATCTGCCAAATTTCCCTCGCTCCACAGGCGCCCATTATCATTGTATGCCCAGATATTTTCAACATCTCCACTGCCGGCCAGGATCCCGTCGTCATCAGCACGAACAGTGTCTGATCGTCATCAGCACAAACAGTGTCTGATGAAATGCAAAAGTTGCCAGCAGCTGGCAGTTGAGCTGCCGGAATCTCAAGTTGGAGGGCCGCCTGAACAACAGAGTGCAAGGGGATATCTGTGGGGTTGATATTCACCTCGTCAGTGGATGTCCACATTGCCCCCACTTCTCGCTCCTCAGTCAAGCTCTCGAGGAATTCCTCTGGGCTCTGGATTCGGGAGGTGGCATGGTCGTTGTAGAAGGAAGAGTTACTTAATTCTCTATGGTGTATTTCTGACAGTGACTTCAAATTTGCTTTGTTCGCCATTTCCTTTCTGGCACATCACCCGAAAGTTGCCACTCAAAGTTGCCTAAATTAGACAACATAACACCTAACTCAAGCTCCGTTGCTACACCATAACCTAAAATTTTTGTAACGCCTCCGGCATAGTTGCCTCCATACAGATCTGCACAGTATTGCTCAACACTCAGAAGGGTGAGATGATGAAGTAAGTCCAGTCAGTTACCTTTGTGCCAAAAGACGGTTCTCATGTAGTCGGGCGGCAGAACCAATACAATGCTAGACATGCTTATCTGCGACTCGCGGCGTGCTGACCGCGT